GGAAAACTTCCTCCTAAAATACTTCAGACTACAGAAAAAAAAATATAAATTCCTTCACGGCAACATACAAGGTCTACCATCTTGTCTTTTCCTGCCCTCCACTGCCAGCTCTTCCAGCTTGCTGCAAGGGACCTGGGAGGGAGATGCACACCCATCAAGCCCCATCAAGGCTTCTGCCAGCCCCTAGGATCCTAGGCGCTTGCACATACTAGTCCACAATCTGAAATCTCTTTTCCTACCTTGTCCATCTGCACACAACAGTAACAACAACCCCCGCCCAACTCCACTCATTGACTCTTTCTTTGTTAATCTTCCCCAGCTGACTACCTTGCCCCATTCCTATTAAAGACAGAGTTGAGGATTTCTTCCATATCTATTTTGGCACTTACCAAATTATGATGATTGCATGTCTCTTTTCCTAACTAAATTATACACTCCTTTTGATAGTGGACTTTCTCTTCCTCGGGCCTGCATTTCCTCACCCCAGCACCGAGTTGGCACTCTCTTTCACTATCCAATGCTGGGATGTACTAAGCTGTTTCTTGGCCATGGGATCCTAGCATATGTTTCAAAATGCCTAAAGCCATTCCAGAATCCTAACTCTTGCCTTGGGAGGGAGAAAGGGAGGTCTTGAATAAAAGAGGGATTCATTACTGCAGATCTAACACATCTAACTTCCAGAAGAATCCACAGAAATGGTAAGGCTATATCACAAAAGATTTCTACACAAATTCTGTCATTTAAAAATGGCATAAGAATCTTAAAAATTGTAACTAATGTGGAACTTAAGAGATTCATTCAACGGATTCTTTCAAAACCGGTATTTTAAGAAAACTGTTCATCATTCCAAGTACATGCTATATCATGACTGGCATCATAAAACAATATGTCAGAAACAGATTCATTTAAAAACATTGAAAATGCAGGGGGCGTGGGGTGGAACAGGGGACACAGACACCTATATCTTAGCACTATTTATTATACCCAGGCAATTTACTGCCACTAGTATCATTAAGCAAATATTTCCTAAGAATCGGTCTGTTTGCTATAGTACAGCTGTCCTGGAACTAAACATGTCACACTTAGATAATCAAAGAGTTAACAAGAGTTTTAAAAAGTACATGGATCCCCTACTTCAAATCTACATCCTATAAAAGGTGAAAAGATCTTAGAATTTCTCGGGAAACTAAACTGGAAGCAATTTTGGTTCAAAATGGTAGAAAGGCTCCTGATGCAGGGTGTGAGCCCTGATTAACCGGACAACTGCTCTGTGCGGACAGAGGTGGGAGACACTATCTTCAGAGTTCCCCTTCCTGTTAGCAAGTGTTCAATTTTACAGACAGGATCCGCCTTGCTGGAACCCTTCATCCATCATCCATTTCTTCTCTTTGTGTTTGCCCCACCACCACCACTTCCTGCTCTGTCCTCAAAGATTTCCTGCATTTATCTGAATCTTTACGTTCCTCCTCTTTCAAGCAGAGAACGAGTGCGAACCTCTTGGGGAGCTCTGGGAAAGACAGGAGGTTCCCACCAACCTTGTGTGTTAGCAGGGTGAGAAGACAATTCACTAAGAATCTCAGGGCTTTTTAAAGTTATCACTTCATAACATAGCTCAGGTATAAGAAGAACCTAGGATGAGTAGGCAGTGGAAGAGACTATATTACTTTTCACTGTGATTATTTTACTAGTTTGTATCATGAATGGAAAACACTTTTAAAGCTCCCTAGGATTTTCAGTTTCTTAAAAATATACAATCATAATACAATCATTCTGCCCTAGAATCTTCCACAGTTTCATGTTTTAAGCATATGAAGGAGTGAGTATAAACTCACAAAATTCCATAGGGCTTAGATCACAGACAATAAATATGCTATGAAACAGCTTTTCAGGGATGTTTTCCCAGGGAACTCAAGTTATGGAAATTTGTAATGAAAACAGACATGCAGCTATAATGAAGAGCAGTGCAGGAATACACAGAGAATTACACACACACTGTCGTGGTGTCAAAATTGAGTGCTCGGACAACCAGATAACAGACTCACCTGGAGTCATCTATTCGGTGTCAACCTTTTAGGAATCACATACTCTGCTCTGCGCCTAGCCTAATCCTAGGTGTTAAGATATACCCAAACATGGGGGGGGGTTCCTGTCTGTGTGAAGTATTTTATTGGATCAAAACAGGCAAACAAATGAAGTATATACAACCCTGTGTCTGCAGCAGTGAGTACAGAAATGGTCAGGTATTCTGAAAGGAAGGAAGCAAGGCACTTACTGTCTGGGGAGACACTGCACAGAGGAAGCAGCCAGAACAAAGACTCCAACGTGGGAAGATGTTTATTGTTTAAGGAATAGGGGCAAGCCAGTGTGGTCAGAGCAGAAAGGGAGGGGAGAGTGGTGGGTGAGGTCAGAGGTCAAGGTGGGGTGAGGTCAGAGGTCAAGGTGAGGGGCTGGGCTTACTAGAATGGAGTAATGCTTTCCTAGACAGCAAAGCTGGCAACAGGTGGAGAATGGGGGAGGGAGGTGATGCCCAGTAATTACAACAAAAGCAAACACAAGGAGGACACTCGGATGTCTAAAGGCTATTTGCGACTCAGAGGCTGGCCTAGTAAGTGAGGAGAATACATTTGAAGGGAGCAGGGCTGGGAACGGTGGGAGGTGGGGGTGGTAAGTATTTAGGCTCTGACTGTTGAGTTGTACACATGAGCTGCAGGCCAGGAATCAGCTGGAGAAGAAGCAGGCAGTCAGCTGTCCTTTGAACACAGACACTGCTCCCCCTTCTCCCCCGGTAAGAATACAATCCTTCCAGAGAGCTGTGCTGGTTGTTAACTCTGTAAAGAAAAACGTGGATGTCTTGGCAAGATCCTTGTGGAGAAAATATTCCCTTTAAATTTTCTGTAGTAGAGGAGATGGGGGGACGGGTGAAGCAAGAACTAGAATTTAGAATATTGTATAATTACCATGAACGGAACTGAACTGGTCTAACTCACAGTGAATCATAAGACAAAGATGATTTAGAATAGGACCCAGAAGCAAACACAAGTTTCTGTTTCTTAAAGAGCAAGTGTTTCCTAAAAGCCCAGATAACCCAGGATGCACTAACTACTCTAATTTACATAAGGAAGGAGATTCCACAGTAATTGTGCACTTCGCATCAAAAGTATTCAAGGCCAGATCGGCACCGTGCTTTCTGTTGGGACAGCCCAGTATTTAGAACAGTGTCTGGTTAGACTCAGTGCCTGTTTTTAGGGGTAAAAACCCTATCCAGAGAGCCCTCACCTCAGAATCAGTGCTAGGGTGTCCTGATACCACCCTGAGGAACTAACAAATTACTCAGAAACAAGTACAGAAAAGAGATGTTTTCCTTGGTGTGCAGGTCAGCATACCTCAATGGAACCAAGCCATTACTTGTGTAACGAGGTCAAAATAACAAGATGCGGTAAAAAGAAACTTTTTCCTAATAACCATAAGGAACTGAAGTAATTCAGCCTTTTGGAACAAAGAACAAAAGCCATAAGGCAATCTTGGACAGTCTTGTCCTGAATCCTTCAAAAACAAAGCTGACTTAAGAAATTGGTGTGGTTTGCGATGGCCTTTTTGTTGTGTTTTTGTAATGGCAAATTACAAATTTATTATTATTTATCCTAATGTAAGAGCGCACTAAAATGACTGCAGCGCTTATCCACTCAGGATTATGGAATGCTATAAATCCCAAAGAGAGGAATTACTGGAGTAGGCAAACCCATTAAGTCATTATATTTCTTATCAACCAGGCACAAATAAAAAACATCTTTCTCTAAATCTGTTTAAATTTAATTACATTTTACTTATTTACTGGGTTTGTGTGTGAGTGTTGGGGGTGGGGTGAGGGAGCATGCCTGTAGAAGTCAGAGGACTACTTGCTTCCACCGGGAGAATCCGGGGACCAACCGAAGTCTTGGCAGCAAGCGCCTTTACCTGCGGAGCCATCTCACCGGTCTCTAAAAACATCTTCCTACAGGCCGTCGTGCTTACACACATTATCATTTTTCTCCAGTACCAGACTGCTTACAGTTCACAATTCGTAGCCAGGATCCACATAGCTTTTTAAAGCCAAGTTCACCCATAACAATAATTTAGAGTGCAAGTGTCTGGATTTGCAATATGCTCTCCTGCCCTTACCGCCTTCCGCGAGGCATTTTTCCACGCTAACACCAGAACATCCTTCAAAGTAACTTCAATACCAAACATACGCCTTAAAAGCCACAAAAAAGCTCAGCGGTGGTTTGGGAGGTGCGGTTAGCCGTGCCCGTGGGCAGCATTAGAGCCGGTGGGGAACCCAGGGTGCTCGGAACGGTGCCGCGGGGTCCGGGCCGCTTCCTGGCCGGACGCTGCGGTCCGGCGCATCCCGGGGACGCCCCACACTCGCAGGCCGGGCCCGGGCCTCACCTTGTACACATCCCCGTAGGTGCCGCTGCCGACCCTCTGCACCAGCTCGTAGTCGTGCTGCGGGTTCCGCCTCAGGATGTCGGCGGCAGGCCGCAGCGGGGCCTCCATCTTCGCTGCGCCCAGCCCGGGGCTCTGCCCGCGGCGCCCGGATCCCGCTAACGAGGGCGCGCGGCGCTTCCCAACATGGAGCCTCCTCGGCGCGCAGCTGCGCCTGCACCCGCGAGAGCGAGCGCGGGGGCGTCACGGGCCGCGACCCCGGCGGCCTCCGGGCCTCCCCGACCCCGCCAGGCCCCGAGCCGTCCGCACCCGAGGGGCCGCCCGTTCCCTGTCTGAGATCCGCGTCCTCTCGAAGACGGCCGCGCGCGCAGTCGCCGCCGCCGCCACACCACGTTCCCCACCCGCGGCTGCGTCACCGGTAGACACGTTCGCGGCCGCCGTGGGTCGAGCCGGCCCGCCCGAGAGCGCAGGCCGCGGGCCCAGAGTGCCGCCCTGAGGCCCGCCGAGCGCACGACACCCTCGCCGCCGCCGCGCCCCGCCTCCCAGAGGCTTGCGGGGCGCTCGGGGCGTTCGTGAGGCTTCGGACCCGCCCAAGCCTGGCCGGGATTCGTCCGTCCGGTTGCCAGAGGGACGGGAAGAGGAGGAGGAGGAGGAGGGCCTGCACGGAGGCCGCCACTGGAGCGCTGCCCTCCTAGTGCCACACGGTCAAGGTAAACTGAGGCCGCCCGGGAAGGAGGTGGGGGAGTGCCGGGTTAACTAAACGCCGGCACACCCGACTGCACCGTCCTGTTTTGCAGACTGTTCCCTGTGGTACCAGTTCTGAGGCTGGACCGCACACCTGCACAACCTGTCTTCCACCCGGGTTTTCCGAGACATTTCTGAAAACCACCAATTCCTACGAAGTTGCTGTGGTTCCTGAACACCGCCACAGTATTGCAACTTTAAAGGGACCAGGAGGTTCTGGAGATGCTAAGGCAAGGCTGGGGAACTTGGTCTGGTTCTGGCTCCAGCACTTCCAAAGGAGGTGATCTGGGGCAAGGCATACTTTGCAACATCTTGGTGTCCTTATCTGTAGTTGGAAGAGGATAAGTTTTGTTTTGTTTTTTTTTTGTTTTGTTTTGTTTTGTTTTTTGCATTTGACACCCGAGAGATGCTTGTAAAGCTTTTTACAGGATTGTAAGGAGGATTATCGGTCGTAAGAGGTTTCGAACCGTTTAACAATACACAGGATATTGACAGGAGTCAAGAGAAGCCATTTGTTTCGTGTTTCACAGGCTGTTTTGCAGTTTGAGTTCCAATCTTGTTCTGAAGGTAGAAATTAAGTTACCATCTTTAGGTAGACTGGTAAAATTATTTCTAGAACCCTGCAGAGATTTTCAGTAGAAAAAAAAACACCAGATTAAGGCCTGGGGAGATGGCTCAGTGGTTAAGAACACCAGCTGCTCTACAGAGGACCTGGGTTGATTTGCAGCACCTGCATGGCTGCTCGTAGTTGTAAATCCGGGTAATCTGACTCCCTCCTCTGGCCTCTGTGGGCATCAGACAGGCACATGTTGCACAGGCATACATGCAGGCAAAACAAAAAAAATTACATAAAAATTGGGAGAGCCAGGTTAATACATGGCTACTGTCCGTTTAGTGACTGAAAATTACAACAGAACAAGTTTCAGATGGTATGTAGCTCCAGATACAATCCAATTCTGCTTTGAGGAATGCACTTCTTACAGTCAATAAATGGATAAATTAAATTAACACCTTAACAGGACATGGGATATATGCATTTTCTTGTGTTCCCCACACAAAGGGCACTTATTTAAGGGACATAAGTAAAGCCCAGACTTACATGCTCCAGGGACAAAGCCTGTGTGTGCTGCCTTGAAAAAAAAAACTTGCTGAGAAACAGTTCTGTCTTTCAAAGCTTCTTGGCACTTGTTTTGGTGGGCACATACTTTTGGCTTCGATGACTCAAAGTCTCCTCAAATGTTCTATTGGTGTCTTAGTACTTGTTTTCTGTCATGGATTTATGTTGGTCATGTAGTCAAACCCACCCATCCCCACTCTGAGACTAGGGCCATTGTCAAGCATTCATGAGTTGAGGGTTCTCCACCAAACTGTCCCCAGAATAGTCAGGTAAACTTGGAGGGTGGGCATCGTGTGATGGAAAAGCAGCCTTCCATGCTCAGGATCAAAGGGGAGCAATGATCCTTTCTCTAGAACGTGAAAGGTATTTGTTCTGATTTATGTCTGCATTATCCCACAGAGAGTTCGAGTCAGCTCACACAAAATACTTATTTTTACACAAGATAAAAATAAGTGAGAGGAAACTGCATGGAATTTGAAAGGGGGGAAAAACAGGAAACCAGAACAATGCTACCAAAAAAAAAAGCTGCAGATTTGTTAGTGGTTTTTGTTTGTTTTTGAGATAAAGATGAACAAATTGATCAAGAGAGGCAGATCTTTCACTGATGCTAAGACCTCAAAAAGTTTCCCCTCTGAGTCTTCACAAAGTGGAAACTCTGAATATTCAGTTTTGAGACAAGTATAAATATCCTGTGAAAACCCTTCAGGTGTATTATTTTTGAAACACAATATTTAAAATGAATTAGGCAGTAAAAAGCTTGAAGTCACAAGTGAAGGTATTTTATGTTGCCAGTAATGGCAGATCCATATGCCTTGACTATAAACCAAGAAACGGATAACACTGAAAGCCAAGTTCCTGCCTGGTGGTTAAAAATAGTGTCTGCAATAATCATTATTTTACTTGTACCACAGATGATGCAAATAGGAAAACATTTGCTTTATACTAACTCCAAAAGAATTTTAAAGATTTTTTTCAGAACTAGTTAATTTTAATAAGATCAGTAATGTAGGTTGTTTGGTAAAGAAATTTAAATTCAACCTACTTATAAACAAACTCTACATAGGTTTAATCTGTATATTAAATAATTACACATAATTTCAAGGTTGAAAGTTCCATAATAGTAAATTATTGTAGCTAACATTGAAATAATTCTTACAAATCTCTCAGTTTTATAATATGGAATAAGAAGAGAAATGACTCTAAAACATACACACACACACACACATATGAATAGTTCTATAATACTTGACATGTAAATGATTTCCAGCTTTTAAAATTTTTATTTTTGATACAATTTACTTATTTCAGGGGGGAGTGCTAATGCCATGGGGGTGTGTGTGTGTGCTGTGTTTGTGTGTGTAGGTTGCAGGACAGCTTGTGGGAGTTGATTTTGTCTTTCTAACATGTAGATTAAGGTTGTGTGTGTGTGTGTGTGTAGGTTGCAGGACAACTTGTGGGAGTTGATTTTGTCTTTCTAACATGTAGATTAAGCTCAGGCCATCATATGGAGGCAAGAGCCTGTACAGGCTGAGCTGTCTTGCTGGCCCTGTTTTCCAGCTTTTTTCTCTGTTCCATATAACACACTGTAGTGGTTTACTGTATACTTGTAATGTTTTCTCCTCTTTTAATCTTCTTCAGTAAAGTGCTAGTTGTGATTGGTGATCTCTAGAGACAACTTTAATTTTAACCAAGACTAAATGACAACAAATATCAAAGCCTTGGGATTTGTTTGTTTTATGTAGCTAAGGTTCAAATTTATTTATTTTTGTTTTTCAAGACGGGTTTTTCTGTATAACCGCCTTGGCTGTCCTGGAACTAGCTGTGCAGGCCAGGCTGGCCTCAAACTCACAGAGATCCGCCTGCCTCTGCCTCCTGAGTGCTGGGACTAAAGGCATGTGCTACCAACACCTGGCCAGGTTCAAATTTATTATCCAAGAAAAAAATGGCTAATTAAAATCCTAAAATTAGGCTGCTGAGTGTGGTGGTGGCTCCCACCTTTAATCCCAGCACTCAGGAGGCAGAGGCAGGCAGATCTCTGAGTTCCCAGATCAGTCTGGTCTAATTAGTGAGTTCAGGCCAGCCAGGGATACACAATCTTTAGAACATACAGATTTTAGCAATATAATATCTCAATCCACCCCTCCTTTGCTCTGCCCTCAGCTGTTTGAGACAGGCTGTCATTATATAGTTCTGCCTGGCCTGGAGCTCACAGAGGACCAGCTGCCTCTGCTTCCCGAGTGCTGGGATTAAAGGTGTGTGCAGCTGCAGCGTGGTCTCTTAATACATCTTTCAATATAAACCAGTTGTGCAGGGCATTTGTATATGATTAAACAAATAGCTCCTTAGATTTGCTAATATCAACCGATCAGTTGTCAGAAGACATTATAGCAATTATGATCTGAATTTTTAGATAATTGACATTAAATCATTCTTTATGACCTCTGTTTGTTAAGGAGAAAATTATATTTTCAAAGTATATGATGATTCTTAAAGTTTGTCCTGGCTAGCAATAGAGCATGGACCTTGTTTAGAATTAAGAACTGGTCATTGTGATGAAAGTTTTAAGAAGACATGAAACTGATTCATGGGTTATGCAACTGGAGTTGATCTGTGGACATGTTAAGTCTAAAAAATAAAGTGGGGAAGCAATTGAGTAACATATCACACATCAACCTCTGGCATCCATACATGCTCTTATAGGCAAGCGCGCGCGCGCACACACACACGCACACACACATACACACACACACACACACACAGAGGCACATACCCCAAACTTAAAAGTAGAACTATCATATGATCCAATAGTCCTTCTTCTAGGTATATATTTAAAGAAGTTAAAACCAGTATGTCAGAAACATATGAACTTTCATGTTCATTACAGCACTATTCATATGTAGCCAAATTATACAAACAGCAGAAATACCCATCAACAGATGAATGCATTTTAAAATTGTAGAGTGTATATATGCATATATTTCAATGTAGATATATGAAATACTATCCATCCTTTACAAAGCAGGAAATTCTGCCATTTACATCAACACAATAGATGAGCCAGAGCATATCACGATACGTAAAAAAAAAAAAAAGGGAAAACACAGTAAACAAATACCACAGGATCTCAATTACACGTGAAATCTTAATGAGCTGCACTAGTAGAAGTAGAAAGTAGAATGATGATTTCCAGAGGTAGAGAGGGGAGTGATTGGCTCATGGCTCATGGGTACAAAGTTTCATATTCATTTTGTAATAGGTAAAGTTTGGAAAGGGTACCTACATGTTGCCTGTGTATCAGATGGACTAGAGTTATAAACAAATGAGGCCATGGAACCTGGCTATGGCCCTATCTTACAGCTGCCCCTCCCCCACTTTTGAGACAAGATCTGTCTCTGTGTGTGTGTGTGTGTGTGTGTGTGTGTGTGTGTGTGTGTGTGTGTATGGATGGATGGATGGATGGATAGATGTGCAAATAAATGCATACACATACATACCCCTGGCTGTCTTGAAACTTGTTATGTAGACCACATTGGCCTCCAACTCACAGAGACCTGCTTTCCTAGTGTTGGGTTTAAAGGTATGCACCACCATGTCTGGCCTAGTTACATTTCATGTAGGATTCCAGCAAGGTCTCTTTTTGTTTCTAATCTCAGGATGTATCACTATGCCTTCCTATTTTTTTTTTTCCGAGAAAGGGTTTCCCTGTATAGCTTTGGAGTCTATCCTGGCACTTGCTCTCTAGACCAGGCTGGCCTTGAACTAACAGAGATCCACCTGCTTCTGCCTACTACTCGGCCTGCCTTCCTATTTTTTTAAAGACTTCTTTATTTGTGTGCATGTTTTACATAT